AAAAAAAAAAAAAAAAAACACTTGATATATAAAATACAACAGAAGATCTCAAAGTAGCAAGACGTCTATACAAGGTGTCTAAACAAATGTATATATAAAATACAAACACTCCAGGAATTTGCTTTTTTTACTAACATACCACGTTAAGTTAACAAGGTGTCTATACAATTTTACTCTCTATGTTTATGTTTAGTATATAACTAGTACAACACCCGTGTATTATGCGGCTGCTTGTTAAATTTTTTTCTTTAAATTTAAAATTAATGAGAAAAAAGTGGTTGAAAATTTAAATAGTTTATATAAAAAATATATATATTATTATATATTTTAGTATGACACTTGTTACTTGTGTGACTTATATGTGTCATATTATAATAATGTTTCTAATTTATAACATATAACTACATTAAACATAAATATATTAATTGAGAATTAATTAATTAATTAATTTTAATAAATAGTTTTCTTATTATTATAAACATAAATATAATTTATTTATTTTATATATACAAAACAGATGTCAAATCGAAGCTCATTAAAAGACGATTAATTTGATATATTATATATGTAAAACCGATAAGAAATACAAAAGTTATCAACTTTTAAAATACATTTATAATTCAGTGGTTATAATAGGAAATGATATTACAATAAAATTAATAAATCTAAAATAATCATAAATAAATCAATATATTTATGGTAATTCGAACCTAATTATTTTAGGATTAAAATTAAATTAAAATCTATCAAAGCCAAACAATGAAGCATGAAATATGACATATAGGATCCCGAAGCATGCGGGCCTGCCACTTAGGCTCCGCGCATTCGGAAGTTATATATAGGGGTGATATATTATTGGGTTTTACTAATTTACATACGTCCGTAAAATTACCTCCTATAATGTGTGTTGTGTTGATTATATAATGTGTTATTTATTTATTTATTTTTTTGGTACAAAAAAGGTGGCTGAAAGTCTAGACTAGAATTTGTTGAGAGTATGATACCCCCAAGCTATCATGCTCGAGCCAAACGACCACTCCATTGGGAGGTGAACTGACACGCTGGAGGCCAAGTGAGACGGAGCTTGCCAAACTCCGTAAATAATCCGTCGCGAAATTCGCTTCTCGATGTACATGCTAAAGATGAACAGACCAATCCGTTTAAGTACGTCACGTATCGCCTTTACCATGGCCTCATGTTGTCCAAAGGAGCCATCCGGATCATGTACCATGGCATTCACACACTAACTATCCACTTCAACAGACACTTGTCGAAACCCCAAGTCCCACGCCAACAAAAGACCCTGAAAAAGCCCCCACAACTCCGCTCCCGTAATAGTGCAGGCCCCAATATTTTGAATAAAACCTCCAAGCCACCGCCCCATCTCGTCACGGACCAATCCTCCCGCACTACCCAATCCTGTACTCTTATTAAAAGCCCCATCCGTATTGACTTTAACCCAACCGGGAGTCGGTGAAGTCCAATGAATCAATCGCGTGACATACCGTACAGCACCAAATGACGAAAAGGCTGCTGCTGCATTTGTGTAGCCCGTAGACGAGCGTCGAATCTCCATAAGTCGAGCCGCTATAGCGGGAAATTGATGTTTAAAAATACGCTCGTTGCGCCACCTCCACATACACCACACCGTTATCGCGAAAAGCGTGTTCCAATTTTCAATCTGGCCCAGTAGAGACTTCATCAGGTTTTGGCGGAGCCAGTCTACCCGATCGAGCTGGTAGAAATCCGAGTGATTACCAGCTGGAAATAGCCCTGCCAGACCTCCTTAGCCGAGGGAAAATCCCGAAAAACATGAAGGGTCGTTTCATCATCACCGTAAAGTTCACAGGCTGACGACACTGCAACATGACGCCGACTACGCTCCGCATTAGTCAGGAGGCGGTTTTTAGCCGCAAGCCACAACACCATGCGACTCCGTTGCAGAGCAGAGGCACGTCAAATGAGTTGCCATAAATTTCGGTCGTTAGTCCCATCATAAGAGATAAGTGCATGGTAGGTGTAATGCCCCATTTAATTATGAATTTTTCGAGTATTATGTATTATTATTATTGTTATTATTATTATTATTATTATTATTATTATTATTATTATTATTATTATTATTATTATTATTATTATTCCTAAATTGCCTAATTGTTTAATTGCTTATTTATTTAAATAAATATTGAGTGTAATATATATATA